ACTCACCGCTCCCAGCGCTCCGGGGGGGCCGGTGCGGGGGCCGCTGCGGGAGCCCGGCCCGGCCCGGCGGCATCGCCTTGCGGGGCGCTCCCCGCGGCTCGGACCGCGCGGGGCAGAGCGCGGCGGGCTCTGCGGTCGGGGCCGGGCCGGGCCGGGCGGTGTGTGCGGCCGCCTCGATGGCCCCGCCGGAGCGCTGGGAGCGGTGAGTACCGGCGGGGCCCCCCGCCCGTCCCGGGACAGCCGGACGCGGCTCCCGCGGCCCAGGGGACGGCGCTGGGTCCCTCCCGGAGCACCCGGGGGGCACAGCGGGGCTGCTGCGGCGGAGCGGTGCCCGCTCCTGGAGATGCCCCGAGGGGCCGGCGCTCCGTCCTCCCCGTGCCCCGCTCCGCTGAGCCGAGGCTCAGATCTGCCCCTCGGTGAGGGGTGACCCCCGTGCCCTCCGCCCGATCCCTCGCTGTAACCTTCCCGGCCCTCCCCGCGGGCCCGGTGGGTCCCTGTCTCACACACTAGCATGTTACATTGTATTAATGCAGGGCTTTGTAACTGGCGATTTCGGGGTTTATTCTTCCAGGTTCCTCCAAGTCTCTGTTGCAATAATTTAGTTTCCACGTTCTGTTACAACACCTGGGGCTGGGGCTGGTGTTTTGCTGCAGTGATGCTGGGCCCTGGGCACGATGGCTGCTCCAAGACTGCCGTGTGTCACAGAAATGTTCCCCAGCAACTTTAAGGGCGTGTTTTGGGGCAATGGCTCTATCTGTCTTCCTTGTCATTGAAATCGATGTGGGGATTACTTCCTTTTGAGCAGGGTGGTTTTGCCTTACAGGGTGTCTGTTGTGATTCTCAGACAGGTGGGATGTGATGGCTGTCCCTGTCAATAGCTTTGTGGCTATAATTCAAGAAGTTAGATCTCATACTTGAATAAGTCAAGGCACAGTATACAGTAAATTAATCTACCTTTTCCTGAGGTTATATCCCCAGATATTTGTAATGGATACCCCTACAGCATACTTCAGGGTGTTCTTAGCCCTTTCAAAACCTAATTCAATTCTGATGGGATTGAGTGTTGTTTACTACTAATTGCTTGGATTACTAGGTACTTGGAGAAGAGCTCATTTGAATGTTTAAGCTTAATTCCTTAAGGTTTTTCTTTATTTTATTTTCACAGTGCCTTTCCCCTCTGAATTTGAACAGCACTATCCATGTATCCCAGAAACATCACTGGATCTGCCAATGAGCTACAGGCTTTAACACTGCTTTTGGCTTTTTAAATAGCTAAAGGTTTTTGTGAAGTTTGGATTGCCTTCATCATCCTCCCTCTACAGGTTCCTTCCATGGGAAGGAGAAAATGCTCTCTTCTGTCTGAAGGTGCCATTGAGGGTCACTTCTCTTTTTAATGCTGGTCTGTAGGAGGTCCCAGTTAAACACCATTGCTGGCCCAGAATGAAATGAATCCATCTGAAATGAACGTGAGGCTGATGAGCCCATTAGAGTTCAACTAAAATGTGTTTGATTTTTTTGTTGTTTTTTTTTCCAAGCTGCAGTAAGGATTCCAAATTGTGTTACTTTAGTAAGTGGATTTAGTGAATATAGAGGCAGACATCTCATCACCCAGGGGCAGGCCTTGGGGATTTAGGAGCTGCCTGTTTGCTATGCTAACATCATTATCCTTGACTGATGAGAGGGGGGTTTCCCATGGATGGCAGGCAGCTTGGTACCAGCCTGCAGGTATCCCACACCAGAACCTGTGGGTTTCCAGGACTTTATCCCAAGGCTACACCCCTCTTGCCTGGAAAGATCTCGCCTCCCTGCATTCCTCCACCCTCCGAAGCATTCATCCATCCCTTCTGCCCCAGGAGGAGCAGCTGTGCCTTCCTGAGCCCACATCCAGTCCTGCCTCATGGGAGACAGAGACCCCATGGGCACTGCCAGCCCCGAGCCAAGCCGGGGCTGGGGGAAAAGCTGCTGCTTTCCTGGAATCCTGGCATTCCAGAGCCTCCCTAGGTTGATGTGGGGTGGTTCAGTGTCTCGCCTCTTTGACAGAGCAAACGTTTCACCAGAGTGCAGAGTGGGTCAGGTAATACTGGTGCTGCCTCACGGGGAATAACACCTTTTGTAAGAGCTGCACAGACCAGGGGATCATGGAAGTCTGGGATCTTCTGAACATAAATGGAAGGATGAGAGTAGAGGATTTGCCACCCCCTTTGGTAGCTCAGCTTCTAGTCATGTTATTCGTGAAATAACTCTAGTAATGTATTTAGGAAGTGAAGTCTGAATTGGGTTACTGTTATTTAATGCTATGAAGCTACCAGGTAGCTTGTATAATTTGCAGATTCAGCAGTCACCAGTGCTGCTTCTGAAAATTATGATCCTTTAATTCTATTTTCACTCTTAGGTGCCTCATTTGGTTGTGCTCTATGTTATACAATCATTATAATACTATTTGTATACACACTACTGCAGCACCACCTTTGAGTCTGTTGGATTTAAGAAAATGAGGGTGTGCTCTGTATGTTAAAGATTGTAAGAGCAGGGACCTCCAGGGTTTTGGGATTTTGTTGTGAGACTTAATTGGAATCTGAGGCATTTGTTAAGTGAAGGATTTATATATATATATATAATTGTTAAAATTGATAGATGTAGTGGGTCATTTTAACATCAGTACCTGATGGACATATGAAATGGGCTGATTGTAAGCTATACCTGTATGAAAAATAGTTGTGAAATAGTGATTTCTTGCATTTTAATCTCTTCCTACATTTTGCCTGGTAGTTGTTCTTTCTGGAATTTAATTGGTGGGTTTTGTGCAGCTTGTAACAATCACTGGTATTTTTCCTTTGGGTCAGAACTTTGTCTGAAATTGATGTTGGATCACATATAAGAAAAATCATCGTTTGAAAGAATTTTAAAGTTCCGTCTGTGCTTCGCCAGAGTGAACTCACAAAGCTGTATATTCTCACAGCTTTGTGAGAAACTTCTCTGCTTTTATCTTGGTAACAGAAAAGTTGAAATTGGCCAAAAATTTGAAGGAGGGCTATATTTTGTTAATAATGTAACTTGGGGTTTTCTGTCAAGCCTTGTGACTACCAGAGCTGCTGCTGTGCTCAGAATGGTGAGACAGCCAAAGGCAGGATTACTTACAATAGAATCCTTTAGCTTGGGAAAGACTTCTGAGTCCAACTGTTATGAAGTCCCAGATTCTGCCCGTTTTTCACGAAGCTCATCATGTTTTTCATCATTAGCAGATAACTGTAACCAGCATTTCTGTACAGACAGGAGGGCAAGCAACCAGCAGCAGGATGCAGCAGGGCTTCTCTGTGGAGTTCAACTTCCCCAGACCGGGGCTCACGCGCTGTGGCTCCGGCGCCGGCGGCTGGTGCCCATGTGGGTGCTGCTCTGGTGACTTCACCTCCTGACCAGGCTGGGTTCCTGTGGCGGTCTTTCTCTTCACCACAAGGGCTTTCGGAAGTGCAGAGGAGAACAGTGATTTACAAGTGCTACAAGTCAGCTGGTGAAGCTGGGAGCAGTCTGTGTCAGCCTTGTAAGGGACAAGCTGCACGAGGTCCTTCCACGGCTACCTGAGGGACTTGGCTGAGAACCCAGGAAGCCACCAAAGGCTGGGATGTGTTAGCTAGAAACAAATTGTAGGAATGACATATTAATGAGTGGAAAACTTGAAGCTAGGTTTAAAAAATACAGTAATAGAAAATGAAGCAATCATTAAGACCTTAGTGCAGAGTTCTGTTGCACAGCTACACCTGTGCATGAAGAAGGTCCTGTCCCATGCCAGCATAGCTGTGGCTGCACTGCAGAGAGCCCTGCACAGCAGTGCTTAAACCATCCAGAAAGTTCTGAAAAAAAGATGCTTTTCTGATGTGTCTTGCATCGTTTGGAACAGTGGTGTAACTCCATGTGTGGATGAGAGTTTTGTCTCTGTAGAGGAGTTTGGCCTGATATGGTCGATACAGAGAGCTCAGCAAAATCTTTGTCTTCCTAAGGATCAGTTTTGTAAGCAGTTCTGAGGAGTTTCCCTTCCTTATCCCCTATTTTGGCAATCAAGTTCAAACAGAACAAACCTAAAATGTAACTCTGAAAATCAGGTGCATGTGTAGGGATATGGCTATGTCAGATAAGGGTATGAAGTTGCTTCCATTTCAGTGGCTTCCAGAAGTACTTAAAATATGAGGAAGGACAGTTCTTTGTGGATGTTGTTTATAGACTGGCCAAAGCGTTAAAAAAGATGTCTGAAGTCATGGAACTTTGTTCAGCTTTAGGAATTCTAAGGTAAATTTTTGCTGGTGGCCAACAAAAAATAAATGTTAATCCTAGAAATTAAAGTACATTAGATGTAAATTCTTACTTGGACAGGTAATCTCTGGTTCATAATGGTGTCTTTGATGTGTGTCCCTATAGGAGTGAGAAGTGCAGAATTAGGCCCATATGACCCAGCTTTCTGTGCTTTCACAGTTACCAAATAGTCAGGCTCCTTCATCTGCTTAGATCCTGCAGCATTTTGTTTTGCTTTCAATCAACCAAACAGAACCCAAATAGGTAACTGTGAAATTCAGTAAGTTTGTAGATAGCTTGACCCAGTGTAAGGAAGGTTGAAGCATCATCAATCCAAAGTCTTCACATTTTTTTGCCCAAGCTCGTGGTGACTCATCACATGCCTTTGGGAACTGACTGTTGCAGTGGGTGAAAGGTTGTGTGGAAGTTAATCTGAAAAGCCAAAACTGAGGCTAAGAAATGCAGTAAGAGGGTTGGAGAAGCACAAAGTTAGAGGGAGAGAAAGCAGAAAGGTGGAAAATGGAGCAGAGCAAGCACGGGATCTTGGCACAGTCATTTTTCTGCAGATGTTTGTGCAGTGCAGTAACACAGGTAACAATCTTATCGTGGTGTGAAGTCTGAACCTGTGATCTCTGTGCACTTCACTGACCACAGCAAGAAATGATGGGAGATGAAAGGAACATTTAACTTTGCTCAGGCTTCCTCTGCTTGGGTTTTTTCTCTCTTACGGTTACTGGTGGATACAATTTTACCTATTTAATAGGTGATCTGACTTTTTGCCCTGTGCGAGCATGCATTAAGAAAAGAACCCCGGCCTTTAGCTCCTGTGTGTTGC